TGTGACCTGTGCACAGACACGGTTTCTCCGTAGCTTCTATTGGTGGGGGCGTTCCAACGCTCAAGACAAATGAAAGATTGGGGAACCCCCAGATTCAACTTGCCTCTTGCCACCACCAATGTCAGCACTCCCAAACTCAGTGTCACTCGTGTCATGATGGTGCTTCACACCGGTGGGTCTCTGGGCACTGCCGGCCCTACTGAGCGGTGGAGGGACCCACTGGGAAGCCCACGTGAATTCACTGGGGTCCTGGGAAGTTCCGTTTCTCGGACATCAGAGAAATGCCCCTTGGTGGTAAGAGAGTTCAGGATGCCACCACCAGAAAAAAGCCACCTTTTGGTCTGTCCTTGGAGGAAAATCATTTGAGAGTTACAGATGTAACTTTGTAAACTTGTGAGTTACAGATGAGAACGCCATGCTTGGAAACTGCATGGGATTGCTGGCCTTAGGGTCCCAGGAATAGTTTCCTGCATAAACACACCAGGCTGAGGAGGCCCACACGCCCACAGGAGTGGGTGGGGAGGCGGACCCTGGACTCTGGATCATGAACCCTGGAATCTTCAGGCACCCCAAGCAGCAGGTGTAGACAGTCCAGTCTCTCTGACCCTCCTTTGCTCACAGGTGGGCTCCTCCTCAGACCTGACCCCTCCCCTTCCAGAGCAAGGTCATGGGACTTGCCTGGCCAGTGAATTTGGAAGATGAAGGCTGCAGGTCACTTTCTGGAACAGGTCTTTGGAGCTGATAGTCCCTGCCCAAGAAGGGGCAGGCATCAGCAGTGCTCTGAAGGCACCAGGGGGTGCTCATCGAAATGAGCCTTTGTGTGGTCCTGCAGTATTGGTGGACAAAGACCACAGCGGGGAAGGGTGCTGGGGAACAGCCTGGCCTCAGTGGAAAGCCGGGTGGCATGGTGAGCTGTGGACCTGTAGAGGCCTTTCCCAGGCACTTGCCAGTTCTGGCACATTCCATAAGCAATGTCATCTGCATCTTGTCCAACTTTTCCTTTTTTAGAGGCAGGGTCTCACTTTGTCACACAGGCTGGAGTGCAGTGGCTCAATCATAACCCACTGCAGCTTCAAACTCCTGGTCCCCAGCGATTCTGTCACCTCAGCCTCCCAAGTATCTGGGCACAGGGGCATACCACCATGCCCGGTTAACATTTTTAGAGATGAGGTCTTGTTATGTTGCCCAGGCTGCTCTTGAACTCCTGGGCTCAAACAGACTCTGCGTCTCACCTCGGCTTCCCAAAGCGCTGGGATCACAGGCGTGACCCACTGCCCAGCTCCTGTACAGTTTTTATACAAAAGGGTCTGGAGTGCCTGTCCAGCTCACGAGGCATGCCAAGGCACAGACCTGCACAACCTCAAGTCTGAGAGGAAGAGCAGAGTGGGATGGCGCCTGCCTTTCTACAGCCCCAAGGAGGGGTGAGGAGATACCTCTGCTGACGGACCCCACCCACGCCTTCCCCCACTCGCGTCCTGGGTCTGGGGTTTCCCCACCCGAGCCTGGCCCAAGTCTCACCAATACGGGGGCCTCCCGAGCCATGCTGCTTGATCAGTGGAGGGACAGGGACGTCGGCATTCTTTTCTTTCCCTTTCCCTCTGGTCTTGCTGATCTGGGCAGGCCACTCTCCTTTTCAGGTACCATCTGTGCCTTTCTTTATGCTTGTCTTTTGCCACATTCACCCCCCTTTCCCTCTCTACCTGAGGTAATCATTTGCATATTTTTAAGGTGCACTTTTACTGGAACACATTCTTGCAATGTGTGCATGACCATTTTGTGTGAAAAACGACTTTCTTTTTGTTAGCTTCTTTTTGTTAGTTAGGTGAGCTTTGTGTATAAAATTAACCATTTCAAAGGGAACAGTTCGGTGGCCCCAGGTGCACTCACAATGTTGTGCAACCACCGGCCTCTGCCTAGCTCCAAAGTCTCCTCATCACCCCCAGAATAAACCCGTACCCATTAGCAATCACACTGCATTCCCTTCCCCCATCCCCGAACAACTGCCATTGAGTCGTGGGCTTCCTGCCCACGTGCATGGAAGCCAATACCAAGGCAGCCGCTTTTGAGAAAAGAAAGGCTTTACTGCGTGCTGACTGCAAGGAGTCAGGAGGGAGTGCTCAAACCTGTCTCCCAGAGCTGGGGTCTGGGCAGGTTTCGTAGACATAGGGTCCTGAGGCATGATCTCATGGGATCCTGCAATGAGGTGATGCTGAGAGGTGAGGTTTGATTGGATCGTGCCATGGGGTGACACCAGCGCTTAATCTGATTGGAGCATGGATCCTGCTGTGTGGTGTCAGTTTCTTTTTTTGAGGCAGAGTCCCGCTTTGTCACCTAGGCTGGAGTGGCAGTGCCAGCTCGGCTCGCTGCAACCTCCGCCTCCTGGGTCCAGGCAATTCTGCCTCAGCCTCTCGAGTAGCTGGACGTCCGGCTAATTTTCGTATTTTTAGTAGAGACAGGTTTCACCATATTGGCCAGGCTGGTCTGGATCTCCTGACCTCATGATCCGCCCGCCTCGGCCTCCCAAAGTGCTGGGATTACAGGCATGAGCCACCGAGCCCGGCCTGCGTTGACAGTTTCTTAATTCACTCCCCCATTCCTTGGTCTGGCACTTAGGTTCTGCCTGAGGCTGCAACCTTGGTTCGTCTGGATGTGTTCAGGTAACTTGCAATCTGGGGCCCGTGGCCACTGAAACACAATTCACAATTTTGTTATATAAAAGTTGAGCCGGGTTGGCCTGGCTCCACAGGTACACAACCACCAACTAAGTAGCTTCCTGTCTCTTGGGCTTTGCCGGCTGCCAGCACTGCCCCAAGTGGAGTTGCACACTCCGTCGCCCTTTGCGTCTTGCTTCTTTCACTCAGCATCAGACTTTCAGGCTCGTCCACATTGTGGTGTGAGTCACTTATTCCTTTTGATGGCTGAATGGTATTCCACTGTGTCCGTGTTTGCTTTATCCACTCATCAGGTCGTTTCCACCTTTGGTTGTTTCCACCTTTGGTTCTCTTTTTAAATCCTATTAATTTACTTAGAGACAGGGTCTTGCTCTATTGCCCAGGCTAGAGTGCAGTGGCATAATCACAGATCACTGCGGTCTCAACCTTCCAGGTTTAAGCAATCCTCCTGACTTGGCCTCCCAAAGCACTGGGACTGTAGGCATGAGCCAATGTGCCTGGCCTTTCCAAAGTTCTTGGGGAGGCCAAGGTGGGAGGATCATTTGAACACAGGAGTTTGAGACCAGCCTGGGCAAGATAGCAAAAATATTTTTTTGCTGTCTCTACAAAAAATTTTAAAACAGGCAGCTGTAGTGGTGTGTGCCTGTGATCCCAGCTACTGAAGAGGCTGAGGCAGGAGTATTGCTTGAGCCCAGGAGTTTGAGGCTGCAGTGAGCTATGATTGTACCACTGCCAAGGTAGAAAATTTCCCTGGTATTTCAAGTTTTCCCTACGTATATTTTAATCATGAATAGATGTTGAACCTTATAAACTTTTTTGCATTAATTGGGATAGTCATATGATTTTCTCTGTGAGTTAATGTACTTTCTGTTTCTGTTAATGGCTAAGTAGTTCCTATCAGTTCAACCTTGCCATAAATAACTATGAAGTGGATAAAATATTAAAAACACAGCCTGTAATCCCAGCACTTTGGAAGGCTGAGGTGGGCGGATTGCTTAAGCCCAGGAGTTCGCAACCAGCCTGGGCAACATGGTGAAACCCCATCTCTATGAAACCACAAAAATTAGACAGGTGGGTGGCATGTCAGACATGTGTCTGTAGAGACATTTTCTTTTCATCTGTTTTGAAATAGCAGATTACAGTTCTCACCTCTTTGGAGTGCTTCTCTTTCTGGTATGCTTTCATTGTCTGTAGGGATATTATTCTCTTTTCTCTTGCAATAATCTTGCGGAGGATTTGACCTCAACACTTTTGCATTGCTTGTGTTTGTGAGAAATTGATCTTTCAGAGCTTTTAGAAGGAAGCATACTTTAGGATAACATCTTAATTTCTTGAAGCATGCATAGCTGTGGAAGCTCATTTTCCAAAATTTCCCTGGCTCCATATCCTGCCTTGACTTTTTCATTTTGTCATTCTTGTCCATAACCTGCCCAATTTTGCCTCTATTTAATAAAACTTATCTGTCTCTCTTTCTCTTTTTGAGACAGGGTCTCACTGTGTGGTCCAGCCTGGAGTGAAGTGCATGATCACATCTCACTACAGCCCCAACCTCGAGGGTTCAAGCAATCCTCCCACCTCAGCCTCCAGAGTAACTGGGATTACAGGTGCCCACCACCATGCCCCGCTCATTTTTTTAGACAGGTGTCTTGCTATGTTGCCCAGGATGCTCTTGAACTCCTGGGTTCAAGTGATCCTCCTGCCTTGGTCTCCCAAAGTGCTGGGATTACGGGCATAAGCCACAGTGCGCAGCCTGAAACGTCTCTCTCTACTGGAGTTCATTTTAGTAATTTTTTCTTACCTTTTCTCTGTCAGTGGATCACTTTCACTTGTCACTTCTCGTTTTCTGTGTTTTGTTCTCATCTTCTGTCTTGAGCAGGTTAGTGATGCCCCCCAGCCTCTGCCCACTGGTTGATTTCTTCCAAGGAGCAGACCTTTGAAATACGAGCTGTCAGTGCTTCTCTGACTTGGGCTCCTTCACGCCTGCTTCTGTCATCTTTGCCCCTTCCTTGTGTTTACTTTCAGCACATGTTCCCCCCACCACACACATTTTCTTCTTTTTGCAGCTGGATGTTTAAATGCCTGCAGCTGTTTTGTGTGTGCAGGTGTGGGTACGTACGCAACGACCTTTCCCTGGGCTTTGACCACACCACACAGATTCAGAGGAGTGTGTCTGTGTCATCACCACTGTTTCTGGGAAAAGCTGGTTCAGTCTGTTTCTTTTCTGAGAGCCTCGGGAGGAGCGACCATCCCTCCTTTCTGTGTGTGGAAGAGGAAACTGGCAACAGCTCCGGCCGGGACAGAAGGACCCACACAGGTGATCTCAGAGGCTTGCTTTGTAAATATTTAATGATCTTATCAAATCTCAGGTGCACTCTGCCCCAGCTGGGTCCTGCCTGGCCAGCCTCTCTCCCCCTTCCCTCTCCTCTTTTGCACACTTGCTCAGCACCTCTGGACTCCGCATCCACCCACGGGATGGTTGGCCCTTGCCTCCTCTGGAGAGAGCAGGGCAGGAGGTGCTTAGGGGGTTGGAGGCAGCTGGGCTGGGCAGTGTGCAGCCATGAGAATGCTAGAGGGGTGTCCTGGCCTCACAGCACTGACCAGCCAGCCAGCATGGCCACAAGGACGTTGAGAGTGGCCCCCAGAGCTGGAGAGAGAGCAGAGGCTGGCTGAGCAGGAGCAGGTGTGATTTCTATATTATAACATATCCATTTTGAGAAATAGGAAACACTGGCATACACTCCAGGGTACAGAGGGTTGGAGCAGCCACGGCCCCAGCTCACGATTCCAATCTGCAACCAGCTGTGGTTGAATTCACAGACGAGTGGGCCCCCGGAGTCGCCCTGGAAAGGAAGAGGGAGTTCTTGTGAACTGGGAGTCCCAGGCCTGTTGCCTCTAGCACCTGTCTGTCAGGGTGCAAGGGGGTGGCCCTGCAGACCCTGCTGGAAGGGGCCAGTGCCCCCCTCTCACCCAGCCCCCCTACTGGCTGCAACACGGCCCAGAGCTGCAGGGGAGGCCTGTTGCAGGCTTGTGGCGTTCACGCATTGCCATGCATCGCCCTGCTCAGCTCGGGGTATGGCTGCAGGGCTCCTGCTAGTCAGTGGGAGGCCAGAGTGGGGGTCCCCTGGGGGCCGCAGGCACAGGGAACCCGTGACCTCTGCCTCACAGACCAGGCGGGCGCACCTCACACACAGTCTTAATGTTCAGGATGTCCCCAGCACACAACATGTTGGGCATGATGTAGGACACGTGTCCATAGAGCAGGCGGCACCAGGTTCGCGGGATCAGTGGGAGCTGCACCTCCTGCAGCTCGTCTGAGGTTTCACCTGTGGGAAGAGAACTCCCGTGAGAAGGCAGCACCTGCCTTGGGTGGGGTAGGAGTTCCCTGCCTCACAGTGGACAGCAACAGGCAGCCCATGGGGAGGAGCCCTGACCACACATAGGGAGGAGCCCCACCACACATAGGGAGGAGCCCCACCACACGCAGGGAGGAGTTCCACCACACGCAGGGAGGAGCCCCACCACACCTAGGGAGGAGCCCCGACCACACATAGGGAGGAGCCCCGACCACACATAGGGAGGAGTCCCACCACACGCAGGGAGGAGCCCGACCACACGCAGG